ATATATTAAAATCCTTGCAGTAGCAACTCACAATAATAGAGACAGATACATGAATCCCTACATAGACACTACATGTCATAAATCACAGAACCACAAAACATGAAAGTACATCCGGTTAGCAGTGCTAACACAGATTATCCGAGCAATGGTTGAACAAGATGAACGATATATTATACATTATACGATTATAATTGCGCGACAACTATTTTTTAAACAAGTTGCTCAAAGAAAGATAACGCACACTCACTGGCAATCTGAGCGAAGTGACGAGCGATTACCAAAATACCTGCTGAGAATATTAGAAATTACTATCAAATTCACTAAGTGTTTTATATTCTTCTGGCGTATTCTGCCAAATTATCACGTTAAAGTTATCAAACGCACCCTGGCATAGACTTTCAGGGGCGCTCCAGAAGTAGGTGTTCCAATATGGAGGTAACTAATTTAACTCGCCTACATCGAGTTGTTTGGAAGGACGGAAGCCTATGGGCTGGGGATATATTCACATGGCTAACACAAACAGTCCCCGAACGCGTAATAGAACTAAAATAAGGAGAATCGGAATAAAATAATGGCCTAACCTTAACACGGTACACATACTACGAGAGTACCCTGTCAGGAGTGAACTTCCTTAATAGCTAAGAATTGATTTTAAACTTCTTAGGCTTTTCATTGAAATACTTTGGTGAATATCCAAACTTTGATTAAAAAACATGTTCAAAAGCATTATTTAGTTATTTTATTTTTATTTTTTCACAAAGTTCTAAGACACCCCCTTTGTCTTGGAGCCCTCGAACTATCAAACTAATCACTTAATAATATCCGATAATCTCGGATATTCTTACCTGAGGTTTCTTTTCTGGCATTGGTTCCCAGATGCGATCGCCCATTGCCTGACCCCAGATCTAACAGAAACAGTTGCGCAAAATATGTCTTCTTTCAAAACGCCAATAAGACATTCTGATCTGACCTGAAATGCAAATTTGTATAAAATAGTTTTCAAACATTGATTATAATATTAGCCCACAAATGGCATAAATATCAGTTTGCTATACATTTGAAAGAGTGGACGTGACCTTGCTTTAAGCGAATTCTCGTTAATTGGCAATTAGGCGCGTTTTGTTATTCTAGCTTAGGCCTATTTGATAACTGCGGACAGCTTAAAGTTTGAAGTTACTGTGTATTCTTAGCTTACTTTATTATTATGTTCCTATGTGTATGCGCCGCTGATATGCTCGAAGTTGCATGTCAATTCATTGACACTACTCAAATGTCAGTGGATACAAGTTTACTCGATATTCAAAGCATTTCAAGCCAATACTGTTTTCGAAATGCCTACAAAGTCGTTATCAACAATTCTTTTCTGTATATTACGTTGAAAAAACCGGGGCTTCAACGGGAAAGAACGCAGAATAAATGGTAAAGAATCGCCTACTTACCGAGAAGGAAGACTCCCTAGAGATGAATTTTTGCATTTTTTGAGTGGGGGGAGGGGCGGAATTCTGTTTTATTAGATGTATATATTACTAAATATTTAGTTTTGTTAATATTATATGTACTTATTTATGTACATATTGGGAATTAAATAAACTGTACAAAAACGGGAGTCCGTCAGCTAAGGATCTATCAAAGATTGAAGAAATAACGAAGTTTCAGGCATTGGGTTGACGGGCTCCAAGATAGGCAAATGGTAGAATTTAACAAAAAGGTTAGGAACCATTGGTCGGGTGCATTAGCCTAAACTATTTGTGCAGTGATTAAATTGAATTAAAAGTATTAAATTTACCAACCCTTGTTAGTGGATTCCAGACTTGAACTTTTTTATAATCTCGTTCGCTTGCATATCTATGATGTTCAGTCGCTCCCGCTTTGCATTCAACGGAGCAATTGCGATTTAATATTGTCACTTCACCGATAGTCGAACGGTCTGGGTGAAAAATTGAATCTACAATTAACACTTCAATTGAGTAGCATGCTGTATAGCTGGGCATCTTCAATCGACCCGAATAGTGAGTTGTTCGAATCGGTTCAAAATAAAATATCGAATCGCCGCCGGGGCAAATTCCATCAACGAAGCCATGTTTTTAGATTGCAATAATGGCATATGATTTTTTTCTTTCCTAAATTATGTCTTATTATGTGAACAGACTGAGTGATGTATTCTATGTAATTCCGGTAATTTATGTGTCTGGAGGAAAGTTACAAAAACAACGCCACATACAATTACGTTCTTGATAAATTCCATTTCTTACAGTAAAAAATAATCGATTTGATTCTGAAATCAGGTATTCAAAATTGTTCATGTTAGCAAGATTATTCTTGCTTACTGGAACATTATGACGACCGTGACAGCAATGATATAGCCTACACAGCTACATATATATATATATAGAGCTATTGAAATACAGAAGAGGTTGACTAGAACCATTTACCATAAGGTGTGCAATCAAGTGTATTGTTTATGAATATATATATAAGGAGACAATCGGCAGAGACTACTGATCGTTTTCCACCGTCCACAGGCCGGTCGGTCACTGCAACCTTCCACACTTACGTAGTTCATGCGATAGGTTCGGGGGTAAATTATTAGGCCAGTGTGCATTCTGTACACACAGGAATCGTAAGTAAACTTAAATAAATTGCGATTTTGTACTCAATTAGAATGTAATAAAATGCGAAGAAGTCCACGTATCTCGTGTGATTAATTAGTTTGTTTTCAATGCCTGACTTAGACTAGAAATACAACTAAAGGTAGTGATTTAACAAATTTTCAAATAGTTTTATCGACTCTACTCGTCGTATAAATATGTAAATTGTATTTTTGAAAAATTCTAAAACAATTAATGAGATTTAGCTAAAAATATGAATCCAGATTTTTTACCGAAAAAAAAAGTTTAAACAAAAATTTTAATTTATTTTCTGGATATTCTTGGACATTGAAGCTATTGTTTACAGTTCATAAAAGTATAGAAATATGATGTAACCCACCAATTCCAGAACATTCATTCAAGCATTCGTGATCTACTGGTTTTGAGTACCAAACTGGCCGGTTTACGTTATCAATATTGATAAATCCAGTATCTGCAGATATCCAAGATATGCAAAAATAATGCAGTGTAAGTAATCTAATTACGAATGCCATCTATATCAATACCCTACAAAGCCAGAAAATATTTTTTAATCAATCGCTATCTTCATTAGGATTAGGTGTTTTTAAATTTTATGCACCTTCATTGAAATTTCTATATTCTGTCTAAATATCGCACTTTCACATTAGATGCAAACACACCTTCTGGTTTTGGAAAACTTGCTTTTCAAATAATTATAAACAACAAACAACAAACAATTTCGTTTACTTTTCATCTAAACTTTTCTTCTCATCTTAAAGCAATGTTTGTAAGTACGAGGTCTGTTGCAAATTAATCGTAACCAGGCCTTCAAGTAGCAATGAAAATAATGAAACGTATGTATTAAATCGTCCCTGATACGCGGGTCAATGGTTCACCATCACTGGTCTATATGTACCAGAGATCTCAGTAGCCTATATGAGGATTTTAGGTGAAAATAGCCATTGGTTGAGGGTCTATCGGTCTGCAATTTCATGACGTAGATATTTAAGCAAGCTGCTAATGAAAATTCCTTGTAAAAGTGAGAGAGTGAACCCTTTATTTCAAATATGAGCCAGTTTACTTAAGTAATATTGGTATGAAGTTTTTGCAAAACCACCATTTCCATGTCATCGCTTCTCGTGAGTCACAAGTTTATTTTATATTATGATTCTTAATCACCACTTCTACACATCATCAATTAACTAATTTTTACACTGTACATTTTTCTTTACTTTCTGTTCTGTATCGCGCCAACTCTCAGCATTGCTGAAACGGACCATCCTACTGAAATATGACTGAACTAATGACCCAAAGTCGTCACAAGAACACCCACGTATATTTTTTCTTGTCGATTTGGCACAAAGCAAAATTTTAAAGCAATCGGAAACAATAAATTCTTCAACAAGCGCGAGGAAAAACGAGTAAAAAGAGTTTGTATAACTTGTTATGTGAATTCAAGTATCAGTATACTATTTTGCAAAATCGCAGTAAATATTTTCAATTGAACATACTTAGGATTTACTTATTTATATTGAGAGAGTATAAAGCCGATAGTGCGGTTTAATAGTATAAAGAGCATACATAACGCCTGCCGCCCGGTTATCAGTACCTACACGTGGCCAGTTGTGAGATTCAAATTTTTTGTCAGCCGGTTTCTTCACAAAAGTCGTATTTTTCAGCCGGTCCTGTTACAAACATAAAGTGGATGTTACAATAAGAGCATTGACAGTAACCACTAACCAGTAATGTTAACCGGTTCGCTAATCTCATAAAATTCCGTGAGACGGTTCTATAGAACCGATGCGAACCGGCTGAATCCAACCATTGCATGTGAGTTATATTGTATATATATATACGTAAACAGTTGAACTTGATGGCGGTGTCGATCAATCCCGCAATCTGCTCGCACATATTTATCCTATGTTGTATTCAAACCCGCGCAGGGCAACCAGAAATGCGATGGCAAGCCTGACTCTTTTTCCCGACCCTCAAGTTAACACCTTTTTGATCCTAACATCATTTGCGTATTGCGTTTGTGAACAAAATATGCTTTGTATCTATGGTCATTTGTATGTTTGATTGGTGGCTGCGGAGTAACAGCAAAGTTTGACCCGCGTCATTTAGGCCAATGCACGCTGGTTTGCCACCAGTGGACCACTTTTTATTGGACTCACATGTCGGCATGTGGGGTTCCGGTAACATTCCTTGTTAGGCAAAGATCCTGAATTGTTCATGAGTATTACTATTGAACACTAATTGTGTGCTAAACACAAAAGTGACTATAAAAAATAGTCACTTTGGTAAACACTTAGTGAGACACCATGCTGTGACCAACGCTGAATGAAAAGTTATGGGTAAAACCGTCTCTTGCCACCAAGTGGTCAGAATGGCTCTAGTGCCTGTTTCGACTCGCACAATTCTGCAAATGTTTTCAGTGTGTCAAATTGGTCCCTGTAGCTGTCTTCGGATGATCTATAATCGTTTGAGTGAAAATGACAGATAGTTTTGAACAAAATGGATCTATAATGGAGGAAGATATAGAAGAAGCAATCCATTTTACCAGAGTTTTGAACTCTTTCCGAAGTTACAAGAAGGATGCTTTGGCTCATGTACTCACCATGCAAAAGAATTTTCTTCAGTTGCCAGAAGCTCATAGGAAGCTATTGCCAAATCACTTGAATATTTTATCAGGAATCAAAACTTGTGTCGAACAAAACAGTGCGATTTGTATGGAAATTGTAAAAAGTTGTGGAAATGCGTTTCAGAACAAGTCTTACGAGGAGACTGAAAATGATAAAACAACAACAAACCCTCGTCCAATGGATTTAGACAAAGTTCGCACAACTTTGAAACAGATCATGCGTGACTGGTCAGAACAAGGGCAAGTGGAGCGTGACCAATGTTATAAACCAATCATAGATGAGATTAATCAAAGGCTTCCTTTGAATAAAGACTCTGGCTTGAATCCCACAGTACTTGTCCCTGGTTGTGGTCTCGGTCGTTTGGCATGGGAACTTGCTCGCATGGGTTATATTTGTGAGGGAAATGAATTTAGCTTTTTTATGTTATTTACATCAAATTTTATTTTAAACCGAACCCCTCATTCGAGTGCCGATAATTTTCACCAGTTTACAATTCACCCATGGGTGACTCAAAAATGTAATGTATCCACTTGGGATTCTGTGTTAGCTTCTGTGAGGTTTCCAGACGTTAACCCAGCGTTACTTCCGCCATCTTCACGATTCTCTATGGCAGCTGGCGATTTCTTAGATTGTTACAAAAAACAAAATACTTGGAATTGTGTTGCCACCTGTTATTTTATTGATACTGCACATAACATTATCTCATATATTGAGCGCATTTTTCATATTTTAGTTCCCGGTGGTGTATGGGTTAATTTGGGTCCTTTATTATATCACTATGCAGATATGCCACATGAACCCTCCGTGGAATTTTCATACGAGCAAATTATTCAAATAGTAAAAAATGTTGGGTTTGAAATTGTTAAAGACCAAAGAAATTTAGACAGTACCTATGTCAATAACCCAACTAGTATGCTTCAATATAGTTATAAATGTTGTCTCCTGGTTGCTATAAAACCATTGTCAAATAGTTAAATATTAGTTGAGCCAGTGTCGGGGGACATATGGGATACAATTTACTTCGTATTATAATGCTGTAATTAAAAAAAACTTAAATTCACTAGCTTGCTTCAGTCATTATTCAAAATAGGCTTTCCCTATACTGTTGGGCCAAACCGCGGGCCAGTTTTGGCTGCGTACAATTTAATATAGCCCAGCAACCTAAGTGGGATAGTTTGAAACTTTGTTTTTACTATTTAGCGTTCTAGATACTGCCAATTTTTATGTCATTATTGCAGTTTAAGCTCGTGTATATACGTAACAATTCTATTATATCGGCATCTTAATTATACAGATCAGTATCAACCCTTGCGAGCGTTCCCCTCTCCCAGCCCGCGAATATCTTTCCGCTTTTAATTTTGGCCCCGATCATTGAGGTCAATCAACTTTGGGAACCATTGGTGTAACAGATTTTCCATTCCATTGGTGTAACATTTTCCGCCTGGCCATTCAATGTCAAATTCTCAAGGTGATAAATTTTGAATTAAAGTAATCTGAATCAATATAAAATCAAGATTTTACTGTATCGAACAAATACAATTTAAGATGTATTTGGTTCGGTTGCCTTTAATACGTTGAATTTTTTTCTTGTTTTAATAGGTAGATTTAATCTTTGATAAGATCTTTAAAATGGAAGATTCATCTGGGTTTGAATGTGAGATCTGCTCTAAAGAATTCAGCTCTAATAAAAAATTGAAAGCACACACAAGACTTCATGTTGTACCCCGGGCTTACCCATGTGTTGTGTGTGGGGAAATATTCATTGATATGGTTCTTTTACAACATCATATGTTAACACATACAGGAAAGGAGAGCCATAAATGCAATGTTTGCCAAAAGTTATTCTCTCGTAAAACAACATTACAAATCCATATGCGATTACATGATTGCAATACTAGTAAATACGAATGCATGGAATGTGGTAAAGCAAATGGTACAAAATATGATTTAGAATGCCATATGAGAACACATACTGGCGAACGACCTTTTGTATGCGAAATTTGTGAGCCATCGGTCAGCTTTGCGACGAAATCAAGTTTACATCGACATACGAGAAGGCATTCTGGATATCAGCCATATTCATGTAAAGCATGTGACAAATCTTTTGCTCGCAAGGATCAATATACAAGACATATTGGAAAACATCTTCAATACCATTGTCAAATATGTGATAAATATTACTCAACTTATCAAAAATTCTCCCAGCATAGAGCATGGTGTATAGTGCCTATGACACCTACAAGTCTATTCGAAGATGAAAACCTTACTACAAGTCATTTAGATTTAACTAGCACGGAACAATTCACTTTTCCATTACCAGAATCTGATAGTCAAGCAAAGACATTGTCGTCTGATAATATTGCTACCATAAGTGAATCAGATTCACAAACTCAAGCAAAGGAATTTAACTCAGATATTACTGAAGATAAAAAAACTATTGTAATACATATTTCATTAGACAGTGATGATTAATAAAATGGTGGCCTGCTGTGACTTTATTTCTTTACTCGGATAATTGGACATGAATTGAATTATTTTTGCAAAACAGTTCTTCACTCTAATAATGCCACAGCCTTACAATTAATTTTGTCACTTTTTTTCAATTTTTATTTGGACTTGTTTCAGACCTTTTGTTCCATCCCCAAAATCATATATTCCTAAACATTCAATGTACGGTAATCATCTTTTTTTGGTCATGAGATTCTTTGAGAAATTGAATTTTGATAACAAAACGAGGTCAAGCCTTCTTAAATTGTCTCCAAACAATTCTATATTTTGACTTGGACTCCCATCCCTGGGGAGTTTAATAATATGACTGTGGCTTAAATATCATTAGAAACATGGCTAACTCTTAACACCACAACCGCGATAGTAGTATTGTTTTCTATATGTCAACTCTGTTTTCAAGACTTTATTTATGAATAAATTTTAAATCCTTGTTTTAGATTCTTCTTATAGTTCTAACTTATCAATCATATTTGTTAGCAGAACAAGATGGTGAAAGAACCGAAACATGGCAACCCTGGGTCAAGTATGGTGCAATACAACCTTATGGCAATGCGGCAGAACTTTGGAATAGCGGAATATTGCAGAACTGGAGTATCTGCCCTTGGCGGAGTGACCGCAGGGATTCTAGGATTGACCGGACTTTATGGATTCGCGTTTTATGTTATTTGTGCTTTATCGCTATTTATAGGAATACTCATCAAAGCTGGATTCGGTTCGTCACACAAATATTTCTTGTCTAGAAAGTCTGTTCTGTTAACGGGACAATTTGGTGCTCTGTTTACTTATATTTTATTCTGGACATTTTTATATGGAATGGTTCATGTGTATTGATGAATACAAGATTCATGATTTATTGGACACTAAGTGGCTCAGTGGTTGCTAAATTATTGTTGTTGTTGGGAACTTCATTGATAATGGAAGAAGGATACTGACTTTTTTCAAATTATTTTGTTCCAATCGGTCAGCAATATTATGGAGACCGCGAATGTATTGCTCTTCTTTTTGATGAAGACTTAACTATAGATTGAATATGATTGATTCTGAAACACAATTTATATAAAATGTGTTTGTATTTTTCTGGAGTTCCGTAAGAATAATCCATTTCAAGGGGTGGCTATCTTTGCAAAGTATTTGTCTAATTTATAATGTGAAGAGAAGATACGAAAATAATATTTCTTATTATCAATGTTGTGTTTTTCCCATCTCGAACCAGTTCTGTGCAGTAAAAAGAGAATCCTAATAGAATCAATGTTTGAAGCACTGTTAATTTGTAGTGTAAGGCTGGGTATATTCAGCAAACCAGATATTATATAAAAAGCTTGTTGCCACTGAGTTCAACACGAATGATAATCACCACCCATGACCTGTCAGTTTTGTCATAGCGTTGGTGCTTTTGTCCAACAGTTATATGGTATATGTTGCCAAAGGGTAAAACAGCTCTACTACACACATTGAAGCCTAATTCAATTATTGGACTGTGGCACTTGCATATTGCAGGACATGCTCCATACCCCACATGAATGTGGAATAATAAATGATCGACCAGGACTTTCAACAGCATGAGACGTTCATCTCAAAACTCATCTTGTGCATTCTTACCCATGAAAATGTATTTCTTATTTCTGCAACTATTTATATGCAGGTCTCAGGGGTGGGTGTCGTTTGCAGAAATCTAAAACTTTATCCGCCTTACTAGCGCCAAAATAACAGGCACGGTTCTAATTGGTCACCTGAACAATGGCTTGCTTATTGAAGCCAGTTACCGCACATCTGCGGCTTCGTTCAGATCTTTTCTTAGGTTGTGAGAGATTAGACAAGCTTTGTACCGAGCATTCTTCAGATATTTACACCCTATTTTCAGTTAGTGACGGCCGATGACCACAGCACTATATAGTTATAATTAAATACAAAGAATATTATTTTGAAGACATACATAACTTTAAAGTTAGTCACATACTCATTCTTACCAAAAGAAAATAATAACCTTTAGGCACTTTTGCTTTGCTAAGTTCTCTCTCGTATATGATGCCATATTATTCTTGCATTTTGCACAATGTGAAATAAATTACTTTTGTTTGAAAGAAGCGGAACCTTTCCGGGTCTTCATTTCCTACCCAATTTATCACACACAAGTCTAATAAACTCTAATGACACTGTCAATATTATTCAGCAAAAATAATTATTAAATCTGCCATTGTAGGTACCAACAGAAACACTGAATCAATTTTAAAAATAATTATCTATAACAATGCATAGGATTCATTGAAGTATTATAAACAAAATAATGCACTATTAAAATATTCAACAAAGAATTATTAAGGTTAAGAGTCTTGAAAATGGCAAAAAATGAGACGTAGCTGGACTTTCTAATTAATATAACCTTAGTTTGACTCTTTGCATCCTCGGAGTCGAGAGCCAAAATTGCAGACTAACAATGGTGAAAAAAAGGTCAAACCCAAAAAGCATTAATATTACCAGGCGTTCTTTATAGCCTATAAAAGAAGGCTCGCATACAGCAAAATATTCTTCATCAAATTCTTGGAGATCGGAACTAGAATTTTTTTACAACCCGAATTTCCTCCGAGTGCAAGACCCAGTCCACGTCTCATTTTTGTCATTACCATGACAAGTTAATTTCACAAACAAAATTATAATTTACTGCTCCTCTCATTGACAACATTTTTCCTTTCTAATGTCTCGATTTCTTCTTTCGTAAATCCGTATTCACTCAATACCTCCCTCGTGTGTTGACCTGCGTCCGAGCCAGGATTGGTGTCAGCTTGAGCTGGAGTTCTGGATAACCTAGGAGCAGGTGTAGGAAGATCCTGTCCGTCGTTAGTTTTGAAAAATGAACCATTTGCCCTGAAAATAACAATCTTGAAATTCATCTCGAGTAAATTATAAATGATTTCAAAATGATCTGCAGAAACCCTAAAAGGATCGAGATTGCTTAGATTTCTTAACAGTGAATAAAAGATGATTTGCAATGCAAATGGGATTGAAACCTATGGGCAGTGGATATATTCACTTGGCTAACATAGACAGTCCCCTAACTAGTAAAAGAACTAAAATAAGGAAATCAAAATAAAATTATGGCCTAACCCTAACCTGGTACACATACTACAAGAGTACCCAAAATTGTTCTTAACTTTTTTCAGAAGAGAGTCTGAATTATTGGTATATTATTCCCAGTCTACATAGCCTTGGTCAGAAAAATTCACTGTAATTTCCGAACCTATTATGAGGATGCTGAGCAGCTTCTTCGGGTGTCAACACAGGAGTGAGGCAGGCATCAGAACCTAAACAATGTAGAGAAAATCTTACATATAAAACATATCGAAAAAAGCCTGATATATTTTGAGAAAAGTTTTTCTAAGAGCTAGAAAATTAGGAAAAACAAAAACAGATTAAAATCAAATGAAAAAGGGTTATGCGGGATAATTAACAATCAAAGTTCGAAAACTCTTTTATGATTTTTATAACTCTTATCGTGCCTTCACTTCGACTAAAGCCCTGTAAAAGCATCTAATAATACACAAAGAAAACAATACATGTTCTGGCTGCCATTTCCTGGCCCCGGGTCTGGAGGTGGGCATGGGGCATTTAGGCAATCATTATGAGGCAGGATAAGTATGTAGAATAAAATTTTACAATATTGTTCAGAGCAGTCGGAATGAAATTTCAGGCAGACCCCATAATTATATGACCTATTTGGTTTAGTTGTTGATCATAGGTTATGTGAGCATAAGGTATAAGCGATAGGATTCAGGGACAGATAACCAGCTTATCCGATCTTTTCTGTTTTGGGCGGAATTTTAACACAGCGTATGGGGAACATGCAAAACAGCTGATGAATCCCACCCAATTATTTATTGGAGAAAAATTGATGACCAACTTGACCTAAGACAATGTTCTCAAACGGTAGGGCGCACCCCACAAGCGGGAGTGGACAATTTTTTAAGGGGGCGTGAAGCTAATTAAAAATGAAAATATTTGTTCCATCTACATATTCTTCAAGGTGTTTTTTGAATAAAACATACTTTCGCCCTACTATCTGTTATTTGTAACCCAATGTTAGCTAGTTATTTTTGAGGTGGGGCGCGAGACTTGACTAATTCTAAAAAGGGGGCGGCTTAGAAAGTTTGAGTACCACTGACCTTGGATAACCGGAATCAAACAAAACAAAAAATTGGTGGTGGCCCTGGTGGGACAATTACGCGGATAGTATACCAATTACCAACCTTCAAAAATCTTATTCAGTTCTTCCATAGTATAACTCGATACTTTTTCAGAAATAGATTTCCTAAGTTCTGGCCATTTTTCAATGTCTAGTTGACTAGGCAAATCATCTGAATTCAAACCTAAACCTGAGAAAATATCACAAAAATTATTATTAAAACCAGCATGTAAAAAGATTTTGATTTTTATAAGGAGATGATATCCAATAAGCAAGAGGAAAATATGTCATAATGCACAATTAGTTTTTTTATGAAATTCTCCTGTTCATCATATAGATATCTAAAATAGTACATTATAATCTAGATGCATACAGGGGCTCAGCAGGTTATATGATTGATGATATCCAATATAATGCAAAGATCCATAGCATCAGGCCATATGTTTGAGGCATCTAGGATAGGATTTATATATTTATCCCGGAAGAGAGGAAAGTCGATGTGATGGCGTAAACATATGGCGACACACAGCTTCTCATCCAGTTACCAGTCCATGTCGGGTATAGGATTAGTTAGCTAGGTATTTGTTTTCGGAAGCATGGACTTGATGATGGAGAAAGCCTGCCTGTGCCACAAACTACTACTAATTATATAGCTAATACTTCTCTAATAAGAATGAAGCCACATCAAACCTTCAATCAACTTTTCATAAAACTGCGGTTCGAGAGCTCCGATAGCAACATGTCTTCCATCTTTTGTTGTGTAACAATCATAAAATGGTGCTCCTGTGTCTAGAAGATTGTTGCCAGGTTTATTGAAAAACATCATCGACTTCATGACATATGCAAAAGTACTGACATAAGCTGACCCTTCAGTCTGTAAAAATGAATGATGGCCAAGTTGTTAATTGACGCATTAGGCTTAAATGTGTTGGTATCACAGGTTATACATCTTGGTTCACTCCCTATGCACCCAAACAGGGTGTAATAAGTTGGGCAGGCAATGCTGAAAGATTCTGGTCCATACAAAATTAGTAACTCCATACATATGTCAAATATCAGTGCCTTGCTCGAAGCAAAAGGTAAGATTAAACATTGTGTATATAAGTAGTAAAATAACTTAAAGATGTAGAGTATAATATTTTCTTATTTATCACAGGGGAGAAGTAATTCGATAGGAAAACTCAGTCAAATGACAAACTACCGTAATTTGATTATCAGTCCATGATTGACATGAAAATAGTTAATTCATAAATTTATTTCAGATGCGTGGACTCGATGGTGGAGAAATAACTGACCAACAGTTACATGAATAACATACAAACCCACACAGAGTGATAAGAGATGTAATATGATGTGCCAATTCATAACAGACATTAAGAACTGACTTTGCTACCGCACTGTTGATTATTGCACAAGGGTTTGCAAGTCTGAATCCTAAAGATTGCAGAACTCCTCGGGTAGTAACGTGCATCAATGTGAATTCTTGTTCAGAGTAAAAGACATGAAAAAGCATCGTTTAAAAATAGAAACCAATACTAACCATGCTAACATCAACAACCTGTCCCAGTCCTGATTTTTCACGTTCTAACAGAGCAGCAACAATACCAAATGCACAGGTCAATCCACCACCTGGAATTGAAGGTAGTACACAAATGAGAATTTTCATCTGAGATGTAGTTTCGATTTTAGGAAATTACTATTTTTTATTACCGTATATGCCCGTTTTACCGCCCGATCTTGCTTAAGGGCCCGTTTGAATAGCCGCCCGTGTGAACAGAACATAAAAATAAGGGCCGGTGCTTGAATACCCGCCCGATGTAGAAGCTGATTTTTCAGCGGTAGAGAACAATAGGAAATAAGAGGCGCTTTTGTCACAACGCTGTTGAATTTTAAGCGCTGGTAGATAACACTCACGCCTTAGGCGTCCAATTACATAACAGATAGCATTGATTATGTAACACCGTTGTTCTCAAACTGTGCCCAAGTGCGTCGTTTCAATATTAATATAGCGTCGCAAAACTTTGCTTCTTTTGCGGACTTGTACCTGCGGTGCGTAGGAATGGTCAAAATTTTCGTTATTCTCGTTTAAATCAGCCCAGGCTACAAAACGAGCAAATACGGTATATGGAAATTTGCAATTTCCAAAATGAAATTTTTCGTCAAATTACAATGAATATTATCTAATATAATTTTATGGCAAAAAATAAATGATTTTAAACTAGGCTACTATAATATTGTAATTAATTAAAGTCAGAATTCCAAAATTATAGAAGACAACAAAGCATTGATTAAAAATATAGACACAAAAATCGTGCATCGGTATGACAAGGTTTTTAGAGCACAGAGTGAGCTGAAAGGATCAGTGAACAACCAATATGGAATGGAGACAGTTCAGTAATATGAAATGAAAATTGTTACTTTTAATAAAATGGCAAAGATTCATGGAGAAATATTGTGTCATATAGGACAAGTAAATGAGTAAATAGCCTTCTTGTGACTTCTTCGACCTTTGCTGAAAATTTGAAAACGATCAATGCAAAAAAGTGACAATATATATATGAACACTTTTATGTTCAAAAAAATGCCAACAAACAATAGGGCTTGAACACTAAACAACCATCCGCTGTGAAAAAATAGGAATAAATGAATTTACCAAAAAAAATCTTACCAGCGAAATCGGCAACTAAATTTATGGGTGGGTGTGGTCTCTCCCCATCTCTGCATAGATATGACAATATACCTGGACAAAAATAAAAGAATTAGTTGAACGACCAGCTAATCAATTATGGAACTTGTGAGTAACAAGTTGGAACCAATTCCATTAGCCACCACCTTGCCCAGAGTGTAATAAATTGTCTAAGCCATGCTACCCAGTGCCCACCTAGACTGGCGGGCCATGTAAGTATAACGTAAAAAGTTACATTTCATGAACTTTCAAGTGGAAAACAATAAGCCTCGTGACGAAACTACGGTAAATGTAATCATAATTTCAACAAATTCCTTGAGGTATTTTCAGCTAAAACATTAAAATTTGGTTTTTGTTTAGTCGTCGCAGCATCAGTCGGGCCAGATTGAATTACCAAAAGGGTCGGATTTGGCCCGCGGGCCGTAGTTCGCCTATGCCAGGTCTAAGCAATGCTAAATAGGAAAGATTGCAGTAATCACATACTATAGCAGCTCTTCATCTTGCAGTGGCTGCTAATAAGAAGCCTCGTTGTGAATAGATAGGTTGTATATAAAAAAAATTCACCATTTTCGAATGCATTCTAATATTATATTTGTTTTGAATACTGCTAGGTTAAATGACTGCATTTCTATTTCCCACAAAAGTTTTGTAAAACTATTTTACCTGATGTGGCAATGTAGTTGATATCGTGACCAGCCATCATTTTCCACGGACCAGATTGTCCAAAACCACTTATTCTTGCATAAATTAATCTTGGATTTGATTTCATTAAAATGTTTGGTCCTAAACCAAGTTTTTCCATAACACCTGAAACAAAATAATAGATGTGGATAATAGGCGTCAGAGATGCGTGGCTGTCGCTACGGCATGCAGCCATCGAAAGATAAAATCAGCAGCCAACTCCAACTTTTATTTATTTAATTTATTGGCATCTTAAATAACATTTCATTGTAAGTTTTAGTCACAAGTAAATGAGATATATAAATAAAAATCAATTCTCTGAATTACGGTAACATAATTCGTAAGAAGACCTGAATCCCATTTGCCGGCATACTCTTTACACAGAAATGTAATGCGGCCAACCATAAAAAAGACACTGGGCTAGAATTTTTGTGTTCAAACCATTGTTGGGCTAAGTTCAACATAAAGCTTGTTGTTTACATAGAAAACAGAAACCACATAAATTGGTGGAAAATTTTTTAAACTCAACTGTGGATTTTGTTATTCATTTTCATATAATTTTTTTCTTTTTTTATTGTTATTTGAGTGTTTGTGTATGTGTGGAATGAATAGACTCATCTATAGAAAATTAGCTCATTCATGTATTCAGATAAGCAGACATCAAGTTTTAAACTAAAATTTGGTTTAATTGGCAGACCTGGTCTGAAGGGCTCAATTATGACATCAGATTTAGTTGACAATCTTTTGACAACTTCGATTCCTTCAGGTTTTTTCAAATCTACAGCAATTGATCTTTTGCCTCTGAAATAAAAGAGTGTAATAAAAAAACATTTAAATTTGTTTTGTTATGAAAAATATTTACAAACATAATGTTGTCAATATCAGGAAAATAAACTCAGAAAAATGGTTAATTTAGCACAATACACAATTAAAGGAAATCGATGATACATTGCATTACTGATCTGAATATTTATAATATTGAGCATTAACTTTTAAATCAATTTGAGATGTGGAAGCACTGTACAAAATAAAAGCAGAGCAACACTATTTACAAACTAGAATTCAATAAAATAATGCTTTGAATGCGTGGTTACTGCAAGTATAAGGTTGTTTTGACTCCCTAATCAGCATAAAAGACGATAAAATATTTGAAAAAAACGAAATGAATAAAAGTGATTACAGAATCAGGAAACCAAACAAAACTTTAATTAGGCTACAGATTTTAGATAAAGAGGCGTTGTCAAAATAAGTGGTATATGTTCGCTCACCCATTTATAATAATATGGTGCAATATTTTAAATGTATTGCTGCAATGGTGCAAATGAAGATACATAATGTTTGACAGTTTGCAGGTTTGATGCAGATAACTTCTGAACTAGTGGAAACCTTACCTTCCCATTCTATCATCTCGGTGACCTTTCGTACGGTCGACTCGGGTAACTTTTGCACCAAAATCTGCTAAAACCATCCCAGCAAATGGAACTGGTGCAAGACCAGACAACTCCAGTACAGATATCCCCTTTAACGCCATTTCGATAAACTGTAACGCTTTGCTATTTGCAGAAAGCAGCAATTTCTGAACTTTTGCAAAAATATATAATTCAAGAACAGTTTAGTAGTTTACACTTGAAATGATTGGCAACGAAAGGATAGGATTTAAATAATGTGGACTACCTTGCTAGCTGTCATCCCAATTTCCGAGGACATACAGACATAAGAAGAAATAATCAGGCATTAGAATAAAACTACGATCAGGCATTGCACCAACAACACAGCCAGACAGCACTCACGTTCGATTTTATTCCATGCAAAGAAAACTAGAACACAGCACCCACGTCGGATTTTATTCATAATGAAAAATTCTATGTGAAGAGATTTAAAATTCATTTATTTATTAATTTTACTGACACCGTTTTCACCGAACGCATTACTTTGCAGTTGCTCACCTCAATCAAGTTAGTTATTGGTTTGCTTCAGATGCGGCTTATGTAAACAAATCCCAAACGATGAGAGGCGGCATCATATCCGCTTAGCCTTCAACAGTTTAATATCGGAACTCACCATAGTGCCATACCTGCAGTGTTATTTATGTTACACAAGTTGCATTCTATGATACACGTTGTGTTTTTTTTTTATCTTACTCTCCACATGTTGTGCCTTAGATGGGTTTTAGATTAAAAAGATTGAGCCCGCGGATATACTCATGGATTCAAATGTACGTGGGTTCAAACGTACGGTCACCGAGCTGGTTCTATTGCCCACCGATACAATGTTGCACATCCCGACTAAGAGTATTCATATTTTTACCGACACATAAATTGCGTTCCTTTTTAACTCCCAAACAATTTGCTTTAGAATCTGGTATAATTGTGTCAACTCGGCAGCAATATGAAGTGGCTCTATCACAAGCCAGGTTGCTTGTAATTGGTAGGGATGGGACGAGTCCGGCATTACAAAGATTCGACGAATTCGAGTAATAGGTCAAAGACTCGAATCGAATACTCCGAGTCCGTGACGTCGCAATGTAAAAGCAGAAAATACGTTTTTGACTATGCTACAGCATCGTGCGCTCACAAACACACGTCGTAGCTCATATTTTTTGCATAATGGTTCCGCAGATAGCTGTTGAATCATTTTAAAAATATATTTTTCCTCTTTTTTGGCGGCCATAATACAAACGTAAACGTGGGTCAATGTGCGCCTTGGCTGTGAACTGGATTTCCAGCCCACCACCTTGCGTCAATTCTGGGCGGCTAATCAGAAATTCTTACATGTCAATATGAAAAATAAAAAGCTTTTGACTACAATGCTTTCCCATAAATCCAGATATTTCTAGCCGTAAATTTACTATGTCACGTGCGCAAATGGCAGAGAAATGCCACTCGTCGTCAATGCAATGTTGCATTGTACATCTGCTTGTAACTTAGTAGTTCGTGTAAGTAAACGTTCTAAAACTCTCCATGCTTTTCATTGCTCCCTTTTCAGATAAAAGATTGCACGTAATAAACTCGATTTAAAAGAGGAATTGATGAGATTACCCATTGGGTTGATCCAAGGCATCTTTCATTTTTACGCGAATCAAAAACTCCAAAAATTTGCGCTAACACATATTTTTTTGTGTACCACTTGTATACCAAAAAGGATTGATAATTTGAAGGCGACTGGCGCAACATCATTGTTATAAGCGATCAATAGTTTTTAACGTTATATAATCTGGATATCTGTCGTCATCTTTATCAGGAGTGTTTATAATACACACAAGGGATATTGTTACAGATCCAACCTTAAATTTTAACTAGTTAAGGTATGTAGTGAGATTTATAGAGGCAAAAGTACAAATATAGGCGTGAATTAGATAGATAATGATTTATTTCCGATACAAGTACATAATACAATAAGCATGAGCAAATAACAATAAGCATAAAAATGTATACGGAAGGGGACGGGCAAGACTTCCAAGGTCAACAAGGTCGACCGACCCCTGAGGTAAGATTCTACCAAGACAGGACACTCTAAAGCAGGCATCATAATTACAATAGAAGAAATATAAATTTTTGAGTTTTAAGCCCGGTTAAGAGGCCCCAGAAATCAATTCCCCGAAAGTATTGGAATAGAAATAAAAATTACAAGGAACAAGAACATCACATGATTACGCAGATCATGTTTTTAATAGTAATTAAAAATGCGAGAAAGAATAAGAAGGGCGTCGGGCTAATTACAATTAATTATACTTTATGTTAAACAAGAATCAAATCATGAGAATGACGCAATTTCTATGAATCGGTGAAAAATTAAAAATACCATACTTCCCAAGCTATATAGTACATATAATTATTACTTCAGACTATATATAATAGTATCTTCAATAATTTTCACAGAGACATATGAAGAATCCATATATAAGATTGTGAATTTCTATCCATTTTATAAATCTGATAGCATACACTGAGATTTGCATGATATTGCATCATATTATGATCCGCTGAAATGCTGTTTTAATTTGCAAATAGGGTGGTATCAATCAAAGATTAAAAATTACAAGAAAAAAGAACATCGCATGATTATGCAGGTTATACTTTTTTTTAATAGTAAATAAAATGCGAAGAGAAGTGAAAAATTAAGAAGGGCGTAAGCCCAATTATAATTTCCTCAAGTTTAATTTTACTTTATGTTCGACAAAAATCAAATAGTGAAAATGAGGAAATGAGGCAGTTTCTATGAATGGGTGAAAAATTTAAAATACCATATTTCCAAAGCTATATAGACATATAGTACATATGAACACTTCAGACTATATATAATAGTATCTTCAATAATTTTCACAGAGACATACATCTATAAAATGGTGATTTCCTATCCATTTTATGAATCTGATTTTATGAATCTGATAGCATACACTGAGATTTGAACGTCACTGCATCACATTATAATTCGCTAATAAATGTTGTTTTAGTTTGCGATCAAATAATTGTGGGGAACACTGTTTCATACTCTGTGGAATACTTTGCCATACATTAATACCTTCCAGCTTGAGCGATTTCTTCATGCATGAAGATTGATATCGCGGGGTGAAATACAATTTATTTGATGTACTCCTGGTCTCATACGGATGGATATTTGAAATTTTGACAAAAAAGTTTTGAAAATACTCTGGCAGCAGCACATTTTCATAACGATACATAAATTTTCCCACTTCACTTATGTAGAGTTCTTTCAATTGAAGAAATTCACAATGATGATACAGTTTTGCATTATTTATACGTATTTGTCTAGATGACTCTCGGTACATCATACATCTAATCATCTTATTTTGTAAAACAGCAAGGGGTCTTAAAGCAGTTTTTGTCGCGTTACCCCAACATAATATACCATATCGAAGATGTGAAAAGGCCAGGCTATTATAAACTATTTTAAGGGTTTCAAGATTTACAAATCTCCTTAATTTATAAAGCATTCCAAGTGATTGAGAAAGTTTTTTTGAAAGGTAATCTATGTGATTTTTCCAATTAAGTTTTTCATCCAGAACTATTCCCAAATATTTTATAGTACTTGTTCTTTCCAAGCTAATTGTGCCAACTTCTAATTTAAAGTTTTCAAACCTTATAATTAGTAAAAACAAAATTGATTATAGACCCGGTAAAAATGACTCGAAATCAAATCCGAGTCCAAAAAACGCCTAGATTCGACTCGAATCCGAGTCCGGATCCGAATATCGGCCCATCCCTAGTAATTGAGCCACACTCAATTGTTCTATATTACAATTAATGAATGTTAGCTCCGACACGGTATGTTAGTCGTTGCTCCGACATTTCGATATACAATACTTTTGGTGCTTCTTTTATACAAAAACGCTGGGATTCTTAACGATAAAATCCCAGATGCAAATCAGATTTGTGCGGATCCAAATTTTAAGCTATTTTTTATTTATTTTTTGTTATAAAACTACTTCTCAATATCCATTTTATTAAATAAAATCACAATACCGTATCCTTCATATTAATCTTTGTTGAATTCTGCACGCAACATTGATTTCTGATTTTGTTTATTAAAAGTCACGTGACGTTACAAAAATTCGTTGTTCTTAATTCCCGCTGTTGGATTTTCAGTCTTGCTGTCGAACTTATTTTTGAAGATGTGAGTTTTTGTGGGAGAGTAGCGTATTTCTGTTTTATTTGGAATCATCGTAACGCTCTAAAATGGATAGATTCCACGTTCTCGAACTGATTGGGGAAGGATCATTCGGTAAAGTGTTCCGAGGAAGGAGAAAACACACAGGCCATGCCGTGGCTTTAAAATTCATTCCTAAAGCTGGAAGAGCAGAAAAAGAACTGAAAAGTTTGCGAAGGGAGATTACTATCATGTCTGGTCTTAAACACCCCAACATTATTGAACTGTTAGATCATTTTGAGACAGAAAAAGATGTCGTAGTAGTGACGGAATTTGCGGAAGGTGAACTATTTCAAATTCTTGAAGATGACGGAAAACTTCCTGAAGATCAAATCAGATGTATAGCTCACCAACTTGTTTCAGCTTTATATTATCTACATTCTCATAGAATATTGCACAGGTCAGTTATATTTTATTTGTATCCAACCTTCGGGATTCTGAAAAACATATTTTTCAGGACACACTTTTTTACCTGTTTATCCCTAAAGTCAGAAAGTGGTGTTCAAAATTAGATATTTAAAGTTTGAAAGTATCACTCTCGATTCTATAGTATTTGAAATCTCAATCGTGAAATTCAGAAAATATGAATCTGGATATTTCTTCAATAAAACATGCAAAATTTCAAACCCCTGAACCCCACAAGCCAGGAGTTAATTACTTTAACAATGCATCTGAAACAAATAATAAACTAGATATTATAATATTCAATATGGCCTGGAAACCAGACAAGAGGCAGTAGTCAATCACATGATTGATTAAGCCATCTATCAACTTTCCTCTCCCCGGGATAAATATGAAAATCTTTCATTCACAATTTTTTTTCTGTGTGCAGAGACATGAAGCCACAAAATGTATTGATTGGAAAAGGAGGCGTCGTTAAGTTATGCGACTTCGGTTTTGCCAGAGCAATGAGCATCAATACACTTGTATTAACTTCCATCAAAGGCACACCGTTGTATATGTCCCCGGAATTAGTCGAAGAAAAACCTTACGATCACAATGCTGACTTATGGTCTCTTGGTTGTATTTTGTACGAACTTTTTGTCGGGAAACCTCCGTTTTATACAAACAGTATTTTTCAACTTGTTAGCTTGATTATCAAGGATGACATCAAGTGGCCAAAGTCAATGAGTGATGATTTTCGTACTTTCCTACGAGGGCTTTTAACTAAAGATCCAAATAAAAGATTAACCTGGCCTTATTTACTAAAACATCCATTTGTACGAGGTAAAATTTGCATCATTGAAGAAGATCCTGATACAAATATACCTCTTACAATCACTCCGACACAAGAAATGCTTTCGGCAAAAGAAAAGATGGCAAAAGAACTCAGTTCGAAAGGTGGTGGGTCTAAAATTCTGAAAAAAGCTCGACAAAAGATGGCAGCAGCGAGCAAAAAGAACGAAGAAATTAATAAGAATACAAAAGCGCTCAATAACTCAACTTCAAAATCGAAAATGGAGAGAAGTGCAAATCTTCAGTCATCCAAGACCTCTCAAAAGTCATCTCTAGGGAATAAATCAAGTAACAACTTGAAAAAGACTGAAAGATCGGCGTCGAAATCAGCCATGAGCATGCAAGATGTCACACTGGATGAAGATGATGGTATAAATGACTCTGATGATGATTGGCAGGTTTGTTTTTTAAAATCTTTTTTCTCTAAATCGTATTTCAAAAAATGGAAGATGTAATACAATGGGTGCCGTTGTGCAACAACTAAATTGAACTCTTAGTCATTAAAAGAATCTGCTGTGACTCTGGATTTGGGACAATTTCGGGTAAGACTACAGCTTCTAAATCGGGAATATAGGAAGCTACAGTATTTTCAAATCTTCTCCCAATTTATCACACCTTGATGTGTTGGGCATGACCTTTGAACCCAATATCTTCAATGCCAACATGGTTCAGCAATTGTGTCCACTGCCCACACCCAACTCTCTGTTTGAGCTTGTTACTTATCGATCTTAAGATATTTGTAAGGTTATTAAGGTATTTGGTTAGGTATTATTAAGGTACAAACTTTTAGGATGTATGCTTTGTTATTTATGTATCAAAATTTTTTTTTTTGTTCAGGAAATCATTGACGCTACTAATCCTGACAACATGCAGCTTACAACTCCAATGACTCTCCTCAGTGACAAAGAATTCCGGAAGAAAATACTTGATCAAATGACTTCAGCAGAAGAAAAGATTTTGTCAGCTGATTTGAAAGCAGCCTCTCAACTTAGGTCACCAATCAGAGTGATAACAAATTTATTAACAACTAAATGTGACGCTGAAATATTGTACAGGTATTCGATATTTTTATCTTGTGTGATGAGTAGTGCACTCCTGAAGAGTTCGAGTATGGGGGCCCACTTCGAGTATGGGGGCACTCCTGAAGAGTTCGGGGGGTATGGGGGACCACAGACTAAGGCTTTCATTGGCTACAGCCAAAGGTACCATGCTCTAGGTAGCAATTCGCAATGGCTACATTAGTAAATTGAGTGTAATGCTTTTACTTTCAAACTTAACTTTTACTTTCATTGGTTGACTCTCTTATTATTAAAACATGACCAAGAAAATAACTGATGGACACTTGTAAATCAAAATTGTTTCTATTTATGAAAGGAAAAGGGCACGAATCATGAAAGTTTGAGGGTAGAAAAGGGTATTCTCTAAATATTCAAATAACATTTTATGGAAATTAAATTTTTGAACCTGTAAAAGGTATTATTTGCATGGATTACAACAAAATCTGCTTGATCATACTTTCATACCTTTCTACTCGGGGGAAAAAAACAGAAAATTATATTAACTTCTAATGTTATTATATTCTTTTAGATTCTGTAAAAGTCTCGACATCCCTGATCGAATTGTGCAACTATTAACAAAATTGATGACTAATTCCAGTATACGTAAACAGCTTTGGTTCCCGCAACTTGCCGCGGATATTCTCGCACTCTTGACAGCGTACGCAGCAAGTGATTTCAACATTAAAAATATTGATGGAGAGAGTATACAAAAGTACGCAGAGTCCGCCATTAAAATTGTATCTCTGATAAAATCAGTCCTCACTCCGACCCTTGACCCCCACCATAGAGTCGAAGATCAAGCTCTACTTTGCCTCGTGTTTATTTGCGAAAGTTGTGACCATGGGCAAACAAAATTTGTCTGTGAGAATGTATATTCTCATATTGTGGAGAGTGGATTCCTCAAAATTGTCTCAGAGGGAGCTAGTGAGTATATGAGATGGAAACAGCAGATTGAATCTCACATGACTGAGGGAGATATCTCCTCCAAAAGAGCGCATGAAATTCAAGCTTTATATATGAGTGCTCTTGCTGCATGTGTTTATTCCCCTGTTGTTGGCTTTTTAACAAGGAATTATAAGCGAGTGGGTGCGACACAACTAGCACAGATTGTACAGTCAGACCGCAGCGCTATAGACAACATCTTTGTCGGTATTTCGGACCCATCTACAGCGATAAATATTTTGAAAATTATTTATTCGTGCTGTCAATCCAGCCATGATGTCTGCCGCTCGTTTTCTACTCCGCAGAATTTGGACCAGCTTTTACGTCTCATGCAAGGAAGATTTGAGATTGGTGATGCTGCATTGAAACAAGGTTTTGAAATAACGTTAAACTTATTGAGTGTTCTTGTCCAAGCCCATCCAGATACTCTATTAGAACTTCTTAAAGAGTATTTGTCGCTTTTCGCTACGATTTTCATAGAATCTGAGGTTCCTACTCACATTCTAGCAGCTGCGACGTTGATTAACGAATTGAGCAACATTGGCGCGATATTCGAACTCAATATATCAGATTTTTTTGCATCTGTGAGCATGGCGGTCGCAAATTTAACAGAAGTGGATACTCTGCCACCGTACGATCGTGGATTACTGGATGGCGTTGTAGACATGATAAAACAGTTAGTAACGGAGGGTGGGGACCAACCGGCCGCCCAAGAATTTATGGAGTGTGGATCATGGAATGCACTCTGGCACAGGCTTGCTCATTCTCTCCGTGTTGATTTTAATGACGGTGCTGAGACAGAGACGATTCCATCAGCGAGACCTGTGAATCATCCGGCACGTGAACATGATGTTTATGATCCAATGCTGTTGTCACCAGAGGGAATCTTGTCTTTTTTGCATGTAAGGCCTTTAGCATCTTTTTACTTACATTAAAATGAGTTTTCTTTACGATATATTCTGCTATGAATTACATTGTAAATGGTCGAGTCACAGACAATAGTAATGCATTAGTATATACTACTCCAGCCTGGCCAGCAGCATATATTTAAAGATATTTACTTCCCCGAGGGCAATGAGAAAATGTTAAAAAGGCATTATATTTCTCTTGGATAAAAAATATACAATCCTGCATATTGCCCTCATTGAAAGTTTGTCTGCTACAACTGATATTGTAATTATGAGACCCAACCAAAGTTCACTTACTAAATGACTGGCATCATTTTTTCCAGGTTGCATTAGCAGTGTTCACTCTTGAACCATACCAGTGTGTTCCCCTTCTTTCTGCAAGTGATTCAGTAGTGGTTCTTTGCTTGTTAGCATTATTGGGAGAAGAATTTAAAAAATATTTGAATCCTACTGTGAAGACTCCTGTATTGGATGAAGATTCAGATGGAAGTATACATACTGATATTGTATTACAGGTGATAAAGATCATTAGGTTTTAATATGCGATATATTTAATATGCGGACAATATAAGTTTGATTAATGGATTGTCAAACTTATTTCATGGCTCAATTCAAAACTAGTTATGATTAAAAGGCGCATTGAAATGTAAATAACTGTCAATATAGATCATGTTTTTGCACTCGAGAAACTAGTTGTCTGTCCCTTGACACTTTCATTTACCTATTTCTTTAAAATTATTTTGAAACTTTGAATTTCCATATATATTAAAATGCAAGAATGTAGAAAATCTAGCTTTTACATCGAAATAATTTTGCATTTACTTGCTGTTATGTATTTTATCGGAGATAGATTTCTTAGCGTGAAAGTCATTTTGATTACGCTACGCTGCGAAAAATTAGCAACCAAATTTTTTGGTAGCAGAAAAATCGTTGGCAATTTGTGTGTTTATTTACAATTTCGATATTTTTTGGACTATATGCCTTCTTTTTTACTTCAGACTTTCGTTTAAATTTATCGATCGGCCCTGTCCCCACTCTGGAAGACGCTATAAAAACACGGCCAGCGGTAGTTTTCTGCAGCATTTGTGTTTAGGCCAATTCCATTTTTGTGTATACATTTATTGTTTTGCTCAGCAATTAGTATAGATTGGTTTATGACTGGATTGCAATACCTTTATGGTGTTGTCAAAAGTTACTGTGCTCCCCCGAAGCTTTTCTGTTTATCTGGGTGAATGACGCTGCACTCGGGCTCTCAAAACACGACTAAATTTTAACTCTAGATTCGTTTTTAGATAGCTATTGTCTGTCCATATAAATTCCAACAGTCAAAATGCTGAAATGGTCTGACTTTTTAGGCTCAAAATCTTAGCTACATAAATATTGTTCTGGAAGTTACGTGTTTTATCAAGATCAGCGTCATCATATTCATAATTGTAAGTCTCAATTGCTTCTTTATCTGAAGGTGTGGCATTAGAAATACGCGCTAATTCAACGCAATTTCTGCAAAAATTCTACCCTTTAGCATATTTGCAATTGTTCTGCTAGATCGCTGAAAATACAAAAAAAAATCTGAATCAATCTGAGACACTTCTCTATCATTCTAACCACGTATTTATGGCTAATATACCTCAACTTTATTTGGTTATAAATCTGAATCATATCACTAGATAGTGCATACTTTATGTCACGCCTCCTAGATCTTCTGTTTACAACAAAATTATCGGAAGCCGAATTTTTCCCTACTCGGCAAATTCTCATATACTACATCCGAATATACCTGATTGTACCTTATATGACATAGGGAACTCAAACTACTTTATCTGCTCAATAAGTCAACATAATTTACGAAACTGAACAAACGAATATTAGCTAATTTAACAACCGAAATCCACTTTTGAGGGAAGATGTTGCACCTATGCAACACTAATTTTAAACCACCCCCTCGTGAAACCACATAAACCGTTCGAGGTTGCAATCAGTTTGTAAAGCTCCTGTATACACTATTCTTTTGCTCCATGCACAAATATTACGAATTCGGCATATATTAATTGGTATAGTTGCATGAGATATGACCATGGTCCACCAGCCTGACACGAGTACCGGAGACCGCATCTTGCAGAAGTCGCTTGCAGCGTCATCAGGCGGCGGCAACGCAAAATAGCAGTTGCATCGAATCAACTAAGTTCCGCAGTAGTACGTTGAGTAGAAAAAGCATTCTGCGGCAGAAAATGTGGGTCATGGCTAGTTTACAATATGTTGTTGCATACGTGTTACACGTAATATTGAAGTGCTGTTTTCTGTGCTGAATTTACATCAAAATGCACTTTTCTATACTTCAGATTTTTATTTGACAAATGAAGGGGTATTGGGTAAAGTTCCTAAACCCGGGGTCAAGTTGAGTCAATCGCTTGAGTTAATTCTCAGCGCCTAGTTGAGTATGATAATTTTGTCCGGGACTTTGATTAATGGTGATCGAGCTTCCCCAACATGTGCTTGAATACCACTATCTTTAGCCCAAACTTTAACTATCGCCATTGGTATTTCAGGTGCTGAGATGTTTCTGCTTCCCATTTGCAATCGACACAAATGAAATGTTCCTACATCAAATATTTGAATGTCTTTGCGAAGTCAATCTTATTTCTATAGTTTTGAATCAATGCAAGTGTTCTGTTCCATATGCTAGACTCGATGTCCCTATTGGACTGATATGCCGACTTGCTTTAAGTCACAAGCCATGCCTTGATGAGTTTACATCTTGTCTTAGAGGGGATGTAACAAAGAGCCTGGCATCCATTCTGATTCATGAAGAAACAAGGCCTATCACTACCTGCGATTTGTTGTCCTTATTGGGGCACGTAGCAAGAATGACCCCAGAAAATGCAAAATCTGTAAGTGACGTTGTTTTGAAGCCTTGCGTCTCCGATAGCACTCCTGCTATTCTTCCATGCTTGAGTTCCACTGATGTTACTGTACGCACAAAGTCTTGCAGTCTTTTGGGGAATTTACTTCGGAAACAAAATCAAGGCATTATACAAGATTTGCCGTCGAAAATTAAATCTGATATATTTGAATCGTTATATCAATGTCTCGCAGTGAGCGAAGGCATGGTCAGAAGGTCCGCATCATTTGCGTTCGGTAATATTGCGTACATGGGATGTACAGAAAGTAACGGAGATGGAAATACAGCTTCAACTGTTAGCAAAGATCTTGGCAAACATTTGGAAAAAGCAGTTCCTCTTTTGACTAATTTATTGAATGATGCGACTCCGAAAACCAGATCGAATGTATCTTTCACATTAGGAAATTTGTCCGACTGGGGCTCGTCACTTAGAGAATCAATACAAGATAGCCATGCCCTCAAAAGATTGCTTGATGTTGCATTACAAGACAATCAAATGTGTGTCAAACAGGCTGCATTTGTTGCACTTCGCACTGCGGCCTCGCACGTCTCGTTAAAAAAAGATCTTCTGAAACAAAACGCTGAAGAAAAATTGGTCGAATTCGTTACCAACTCTGGACAGAATCAAAGTACGACTCTTCCTGCATCAGCGAGATACGCGTTTTCACCAAGGATGGTTTCAGCAAGAACGAGACCTTCAACATATTCTTCACAATCTAAGGTTGTGATAGATCATGCCAAGAAACTCATAGATGAGCTTAGAACCAGTGAATAGTGCATGGAATGATTGAGCAAGCTTAAAATATTACAAAGAAATTACGCAACCTAGACATTGTGCCTAGGTCTGATAAAACAGTCATTTGCTAGGATATACAACTTTGCCACTGTAACAATGTTACTGTGCATTTTTAACTTGTGAATTTGTGTTTTTGGGGTGTGATAAAACAGCCTTCTGCAAAGATAGGTACAAAATTTATAAATGTAATAATGACTGTGAATTTCCAGTCGGTAATTTTGGTTCACATTACTATGTTTGATGAAGACTCGCACTTCTAGCGTTTCCCAGTCTTTTTTTATGTTAGATTTGGAGCTGGAAAATTCAGTGACTGTAACTTTAACAAATATTTTCTTGCCCAACGCAACATGGATAAAGTCGACTAATTTTTAGGTAATTTAATTAGGAATTAACGATTTTCTCTTGAAACCCACTCAAAACAGACTTCCCTGATTGCTTATTTTGCACGATGAGGATTCGAACATTACTTATGTAGCTTTACTACCATGGGATTTTGGGTCTGTAACGCTCAGGATAAGTGTTCGGAAAGGTACCTAGATATCACACTAATTATTTTGACTTACCTATTTTTATAGAATTCATTTACTCCACTGTTTTGTTCTATACTTCATATCAAATTGTTTTAATGTAGATGTCTATATTTTGATTGTAATAAATGTAATTTTTGATAAAGCCGTCTAGTATAGGGTTCTTCATTCTAAGTTGCAAGTTAATCCACATTGATTAAAAACAGTTGAAGAGTGAGTATTAGATTGGCTTGAGTTCGTCAGCCAAGGCTTTTTCTCCAAATTTTACTAAATGCACCTTTAAGCCGCCACTAATATTCAGAAATATGCAAATTTGGAAGGACCTGGATCTTTCCTGTTTTCAACAAACGCTGGGTTCGCAGGCCAAAGCTGCCCCCCGACTGGGTAATTCAATCTGGCCCGCCTTATGCTGCACCAATCAAACTAAAACCAAATTTTGATATTTTAGCTAAAAATAACCCAGGAATTTGTTGAGATTATGTTTGAATTTAGTTTTGGCAAGAAATGTATTGTTTTCCGCCTTTGCTTTGATATACTGTAAATATTGTTTATTACGTCACAATTTCATGGCCCGCCAGTCTAAATGGGCAAAATCGTAGGCTCCTGGTTTAAAAACGGTGCCCACCCACGGTCTACAATGACTGAAGACAGCATTTTCACTTCTTTAAACAACTATTAAGCAACTAAACTGTATTACAACATCGGCCTCTGAACTATATTATGGTACTACAGATGGGTGTTGGCAGCACACAGTTGCCGTTTGCTAGGAATGAAAATATGCCGTTTTGGAGCAGAAGTGAATGCAAAACCTGCAGAGGGTAAGTTGCTTTCTATCACCACAAGCTCCCTTCTCGAAAATTAGGTTCAAATGTACCTAAAAGACGTAACTTTTATTTAAATCAACAAGTTTTCCATGAGTTAATTTTGCTTAAGAGTCAGCACAATATAATCCCAATGATGCATCTATGACACAAGTAGACCACTTTCCTCTCCACTTCATATGCAGAAAAAATAAGGCTCGAAATACATAAAATTTTCATGCAAATACGAGAGATGGAATTAATTTAGCTAGCGATATGAACTGCATGAACATTCATAGGCAGTGTTTGCACATACTCAAACAGATTTACGCCTAATAGGCAGTATGACTTTGAGGACCTTTATATCAAATGTAGGCTACATCAATCTATGGCTGCAGCCAAGCATTTAAATATATTTAGTGAACTTCTTGTTTCCATTATCCACACCTTGACCTATCGTGTACCCAATCGATCAGAGTGCATGAGAATACCAGGCAATGCTTTTTGTTCTAGCATCACTTGACACTAACATTTACTATTGAAATATCATCGTACGGCTTATCAGTTTTCGGGTGAGTTTTAGCCAAAGATATATTTTGTATGACGTCCATTCCTTTTACAACTCGTCCAAATACGGTATGTTTATTGTCCAACCACGGTGTAGGCACAACAGTAACAAAAAATTGAGATCCGTTTGTATTTGGGCCGGCATTTGCCATACTAAGTGTGTACGGCCTATCGTGCCTTAATGAAGGATGGAATTCATCTTCGAATTCTCCACCCCAGATGCTTTCACCGCCAGTTCCACTTCCAAGAGGATCGCCAGTCTGTATCATGAAGCCCTAAGAAAAAAATATTATTTAATATGCTGAGCCTGGCAGTAAAGGATTTCATAATTATCCTAATTAGAAGGAAAGTTAATAAAGTTGACTTAATCAATGAGGGAATACAGCATATAGATGTGTGATTACTTATCGATCTTAAGATCGGTGTGTATGTTGATAGGTATTTGTGTGTCTGTTAGATGCACGCGATATCTCACAAAAGCGAGGTTGAATCTTTTCCAAATTTTGCATGTGTGTTCATCATATCCTGGATCAGAAGCCTATTGATTTTGAATGAATTAGGTCGTATAATTAGCGAGGTAATAATTAATTAGTGATGGGACACGCGGTGTCACTACGGAGTCGAGCGAATCGAAACCACAGTTTCTGTTTTGAGGAATCCCCTAACTTTCGATCGATAAGTCTTCGGTCTCTGACCGATATCCTCGTTTTAAATTTCAATATTTATCGGGGGGAGAGGAAAGCCAATGCTTCAGTTTATTTATATGGAGAGCTACGCCTCTTGCAAAGTTACCAGCCAATGTCAAATGATATAGGATAGGATTTTCATATTTATAACAGGGAGAGGAAAGTTGATTTTACAGCAAAATGATATAGCGAACCATTGACTCTTTTCCATCCATGTCGGTGGTGGAAGAAGCCGTAACCAACCAGTGGATAGATAGATCTCGGATTAGTGATTCCCATTTAAAAAATGTTTCCGATTTAGTGATGTCGAAAACGTATCGAGCAAAATGCAACAAACATTCAAGAGTGCCACATTAAAAGTCATTTGTAAATCTTTTCTTTGGGTAAGATGAGTTCAGCCTTCGTGCACTGCTTAAATTTTTAAATTTCAACTTCTGATATGTGGGGAAAAAACTGGTGTTCGATGAATCACAGTTTTTTCCCCACATATCAGAAGTTGAAATTTAAAAATTTAGTTTTTGAAAGTATGTGCGGCCCGCCAAGACCTGCAACTCTTAATTTTGGCCCGCGAGCGACAAAAGGTTGCAGACCCCTGCTGTAGACAATTGAACTGCCCATATAGACAGCGGTGTAAGGTCCATATGGACAGAATACTTGCTTATTCAATTGCAACATAAACAATACATACCTTTATAACTCTATGAAATATGTGGCCATTATAATATCCATCTCTAGAGTGAACGCAAAAATTCTCGACAGTTTTCGGGCATTCATTCATAAATAATTTGATGTGTACATCTCCTACTGTGGTATGTATGATTGCTTTGTCAGAAACCTTGAATATAAAATAATGTCTATTTTCAAACCAAGAACATATTACAAAGACGACTATGCAGTACAAGGCATGTTTTCGATAAGAGTCCAAGTTATGTTTTCGTTCGAACTCCCCACAATTGGAAGTCGGGAGACAATATTCAGAAAATACCGTATTTGCTCGTTTTGTAGCCCAGGCCCATATTTTTTTCAATCAACTCAACAACCGGGCCCTTATTCAAACTGGCCCCTATTCAAGCACGGGCGCTTGTTATTTTTGATCGTTACAATAATTAATATATTGGTATTTCCAGTTTTCAAGTATGATTTAAACGAGAATAACGAAAATTTTGACTTTTTCTACGCACCGCAGGTACGTGCGCAGGTACAAAAAGTCAGATTTACAGACTTTCAATAGTGATTCAATTTTTCTATAAAAACTTAGAAAACATCAAGTATACAAAGCAGTTTTAACAGTTTTTACTGAAGATACGGCAAGTTTTTTCTTCAGGCATTTATTTAACATCTACATGTAGGCCTTACAATTCCCCTACCCATAGTTTTAGCACCATATTCTGAATTCGGCCTAAATATGCTAGTGGCCACATACAAGTCCCCCCTCCCCCCATTTACTTTTAGATGAACTTATATAATCCACTTACTCTTTTCTCTATAACTTGCATGGATGCTAGGACTTCCTCCTTTGATGGTTTCTCATTAAAAACATCTCTATCGCCATCTGTTGATTGAATTTCATCAGGTGCACGTTTTGTAAACTAAATAAATTGGAATTATTATTATTTCACAAATTTCTGAAAGATATTTTCAGTGCCACCAACAAAGAAGTTTCCAAAAAAGGTAGGAATTCCTCCCGAGGAAAAATTTTGGGTAAGAAATTTTATTTACTACTGCGTACATTTTACAGTTGTAATGCGATATATCAGCTGTCCGTAGAGTCCTAAATTTTTTTTTATAAATGCAAAGGGAATTTATCGATACCATATATTGTTTTGGCCTTCACGGATGTATTAAATGGAGTAAAAATACTTAAACAATTACTGATTAAAAACAAACAAACCTGGTTAAGATGAATCGAGAACCAACTTCATAACAAAATTGATATTGTAAAGGGATTTTATGGACACCTGTATATTTATGCATGCAATATGTATAACCTATTCAAACAGAAGCCAAGCGCAAGTTTCACCATCCATTGAAGATTATATAAAAAAAAGAAACAAACTTTTTATGCTGAATCTGGCCTTAAAAAATATCGTTCGCTTGAAAATTTGAAAATATTAAAATTTCGCAAGTTCCTAAATCAGTTTTACTTTCTTACCATATAAAATCTATTTTTCTTATAAGCTGTACAAAACAAGGTTGGATCGTTTTCTGGTTCTTGAAGGCCGGGATTATCGGATAATTTCATGTCAACAGTTATGGCTGATTGTCGTTTCTTTGGTGCCCCTTGGTATAATGAAATATGGAGAATCCTGATGTTTTCAGACTTTCCAATGAATCTGACACATCTGGAATGTTGTTTGGTGTTTAAAAAATTACAATTTAGAAATAACAAAATTATCTGTATGGACGACATTTTTCCATGTTATCAAATAAAGAGCAAGCATCTTGCTTTTTTCGCATCAGACCTCTAATCACGGCCCCATGTTGCCCACGGGCCAAATGCAAATTTGTGCGGCTCGCGGAGAAGTGCTAATTTTAAATAGATGTTCGTCCCGCGAAACGAGTTTTTAATTTAGTTTAATCTGGTACGTTTGAGTAATTCCAATCCCTTTGCATCGCAAAGTCTTTACCCGAGTCCAATTTATAGCTTGTGCGAAACAAACCAGGCATGTCATAAGATCGATAACCAAAATTTTTGTGCCTGCAACTACTAGGAAGTCTATGTTAAATAACGTTGCGACCTGCGGTTTCACCCAGCTTTTCGTATCTGGCCCTCGTGTATTAAAGTTGCACACCCCTGACAATAGTACATACATCGTAAATACCTGTTTGTATGTAGATTAATCAGCTTCACGCCAAACATTGTACCATACATCAAAAAATTGCTTGTTTCATCAAAAATTAGGTTACTCAGTCCAAAACTTTCCTGTAAATTAAAAAAAAATAGTATTATCCTCAACAACGCTAAAGCCACAAAAGATCCGTGGCCAAGGAGTGACTATTGATGATCATAAAAGTAATAAAAGGCAAGTTATAACTAATAAAATATATTAGGACATTTCCATATGTACGATGTACACTGAATTTCCAAATTTATAATTAAAGATTAAACACACAATTTTCCGGCAAATGGAAGTCGAGCAGAAACGAAGCCAACAATCGTGTCAATAAAAACAAAAGAAGCCAGCAAGGCACGCTCCAGAAGTGTGTAATACGGAGGTAACTAATTTTGTTCGCATACTTTACATCAAGTTGTGTAAGGGATTGAAACTTGAAACCTATGGGCAGGGGGTATATTCACTTGGCTAATACAGACAGTCCCCGAACTCGTAATAGAACTAAAATGAGGAAAATTGGAATGAAAATATGGCCTAGCCCTAACCTGGTACACACACTATGGGAGTACCAACAATTTTACAGCGAAACAAAGTTGTGCAGAACCAAAACCAGCAAGGGTATCAATAAGAACATAAGAAGCCCAGACTTCACAATTCTCCTTGCATTATTTCCTTCTCAAACTCAGGGAATTCAAACTTATTAACAAAGTTACTGGCAATTTTTCAAGTTCTCTTTCTACAGCTATCCTTCTACCAAACTCCATATTCGCAAGTTGTGCTTTTGATTGTTGCATTTCAACAAATGTCTGTAAAGTAAAGTAACATGTCTAACAGTTATCACATTGAAACTAATTGTAATGAAATTATAGGTTAATGATGTTGGGCTCAAATAACTTCGCTGGAACAGAACTAACAAAAACATTTTAAGCTTTTTGACTAAGTAGCGAAAATTCGATTGGCTGCTTTGTCATTTTTTCCTTAGTAATTTAGCGGAAAACTCATTACATTATGATTTTGAAATGAAACAATCGAATGATGTATCCAAAGTCAAGAAGCAGCTGCGGTCCAAATGTAATACTCGAAAGGTACTCGGATTTGGACCGCGGTCCGCCAGTTGAGTGACCCTGATCTATATCACAGAATTATTTAATTTACAATCCGCAAACAAACCAAAAATACACTTACATTTAAAGATTCATTGAAAACACGAGAGAGTTTAGCCGACAGAAAATGAAAAACGTAAGCCTTTCTATTCGCTGTCAAACAAGCAAAGAATGCTCCATTTGGAGATGTAGCTATTGAGTGAGCGTAAGTTTTGTTCTTGGCAAGCTCATATAAATCTGTATCTGTTTTGA